AATAAAGGATTTATTATATGGCTTTCGGGGAAATTTTTCTTGTGGGACACGGCGGGTAGTCCTGAGCGGGCAAGATAACTCTATCTTGCCCGCTCAGGTAGCCAATCACAGTGCAGGATTTGATTCTTGCCCGCTCAAAGAGCCAGCCACACAATAAGATGAAATAATGATAAGTCCAGACAATAATCAAAGAAAATGCATGGGGGTTGGAAGTTAAATAATGACAAGAGTCAACTCATTACTGCACAGATATAGTTTCATAGTAAGCTACTTACAGAACCTGTAAATTAAAGTAGGTACACCGTACATAAAAAAAGCAGGATTATACATACCATGAGTGTTATCATGATTGGCAGGCCATAACTGATTTCATTGGTTGATTCTATTAGGATGACAGTCAAGCTGATTGTCATGCGCACAACTCCCCCCAAGAATGATGCTGCTCCTATCAGTGCAAATGTTCCATGATATGTGTGCTGGTATCCCAACAGCCTGAAAAACACATCACATTATTATGACCTGGCTCATGGTGTTAAAATGCATTAATCATCCTTCCAGGAGAGATAGCTACAGTTGTTACATTGCCACCCGTGTTTAACAGACTTCGTAAATTCATTAAATAGGTTTAGATTTTTTTTCTTTTGGTTTAACAGTTGTTGTCATGCATATGCCCAATCAACTTAATTACCTTTAATAAAGATAAAGATAAAGATAACTGTTATTTAAGAAAAGCACTCTTGCTATGCAAAGGTACCTCTAGACTACATAAACATGTATCTAAGCGCAACTTGTCCTGGCAGGTAGTGGTTTACTTGGAAAGCTCAGTGAAAGTATTTTGCCATTACCTGCAAAGTTCTCCAATAAAGCGGCCATAAGCTGCACCACACAACAAGCAAGGAACAAACAGACCACTAGGAACACTGGCACCATATGTCCAGCAGGCCAGGAAGTAGAAACAGATGAAAAAGATCCCCAGGGATGTCAGACTAAAGGCACCTGATGAGTAATCAGACAGATACTAACTGAAGGATACATGTATGTCATGCAATGCATCATTGTCAAAATGCATTATTGTCAAAATGACAATTTACACATTATCCAACAGCTTGATGTTAAAATCGTCAGTGACTGGTCCTACAGTGTCTTGGATATTTCAGACAATGATGCAATGTAGTGCTATGCCAACTTACATTCTCACTTCTGAACATAACCACCTTTAGTTAGTATAGGTAATCGTATGAATACGAGTACAATTAAGGCTTAACACTACAAGTGATATTTGAAAATTCCCTCACAATTGCACGAGCCTTTAGACAAGTGCAATTTGAAAGAATTTGCTTCCATCTGATTACTCATTTATTATATGACTGGGAAAATAACAAAAGTGTGAGCATTAATTTCACTGCAGTGCAAAATAAAACTTAACAGTATATTGGCCTGGTCTGAGCAATTGCAATGACAGTCTGAAGTAATTTTTTGCAGTTATATATTAAATAACATTAATACTAGCCAAGATGGTCAACCTAGGAGTGGAGAATTAATTTTGTGTACTTACAGGAACCACAGAAAATGATGAGCTAAATAACAGACCAAGACCTACTCTTTAAAGAATTATTTTTTAGCAGTTTGCATTGTAAGTTAGAGGAAAGTTCTGTTGCAGGAAGTAATTAAGGCCGCTGTCTAGTATCATCTAAGCTAGTTACAAGCTATCACAACACAGACATTTACCATCAAGATGGAAAAGTTGCCTGATTGCTGACTCCTGAGAGGTAAAGAACAATGTGGCCATGTCATTGAACTGTCCATCTTGACAAAAGTAAGGCTTGGTGTCATTCCCCTTAGTGCTGCCCTGTAGAAAGGAAAACTGTTCTGTAAATGTGTAAACTACACTCAACTTGTACAATGAGGCTGTATCTAAAGAACAATAACTACTGTAGTTATAAAGTACAGTGTCTCACTAAGAGTTAAATTTTCAAAGGAAATCTTTGTGACAATCCATTACTGGTCAAGAGTATAATTATATATTAAAATAATCTCTCTAGTGTAATCAGTTCCATTCTTCATAACCCCTCTTAATCTCCGATTGCACAAAGATTTTTTTTTTCAATATTTGCTAAGATTAGAGCAGGAGGGTATGGAGAACAAGACTGCAAGTTGAATCTCACAGATTTCCACTATAATGTCTTAATACCAAGTTAGAGCACATTGTTTAGTATACTACCATTTTTGCAAAACAGATTCAACTAGTACAATGAGGCTGTATTTATAGAAAAAATTATAAAATTGGTTTTAGAATACAATCTCTCCATACTGGTATTTATAAATGATGTGAGGAAATACTTATAACAGTCTATTACTAGTCAAGAGTACATGTACATATAAAATCATTTCTCCATAAAGTTAAAACAAGTGCCATTATCCGTACCGTCCATTCTTGGTTTTGTATTGATTTTACAAACTTTACAAAAGTAGTACATGAATGCTAGGTGAATTTCAGAGTTTTCCACTTTCATGTCACACTGTATACAGCATCAAGATGATGTTAGACTTACAGGAGGAAGTGTCTTGCAGCGTGCAAGGTATATTGGACCAAAGAATGCTACTGAAGTGGTGAGAAAACCAACCAGAACAGCTTCAAGAATCCTATAATATGCAAAAACAGACAATAAAAACTGGATAGTACAACTACAGCTTTATGGAGCTGCTATTTTAAATAACCATCCAAGAAAATAAATGATCCACAACTTGTAATTTTACATATATCCTCATAGAATACAGTTTGTTTGATTTGATGACTTGAAAAACCAATATATAACCAGCTGAAGGTAAAATATTTTAAAAATTTGGAACATGACATTCTATGACTTTATATTAATCAATCTTACCAAAATTTCTTAATGTTTGTTACAAGAATTCTTGAAGTAAATAAAGATGGGCCAGCACGCCTAGATCATTATATCAGTTAATCATTATTAATTTTAGTGGAATCAAGTCATGTGTTATGCCCACGATGTCTTTACTGTGGAAAAAGAAACTTTTAGTTATGTCGTAGTATAACTAAAGTCAAGAGTAGTTTTCACTTGCATTTTTACAATAGTACACTTAATGTTTGGTGTAAAACACAGGTGCCACTTTCTCATCCAATCAGAAGCAATTATACCAAGACCAGTGGTGACTCACTCGAACTCTCAAGCTTTGCGTCAGATACATGTATGTCCTCTTAGTTTTGATTGGTCCATCAGTACACCAGATTGTCTGTGCCCTTTGTGATTGGCCAGAGTGATAACTTTGAAACACTCAGTTGAAAACTACTCTAACTTACTATTGAAGTTATTAAATTACCTAACATGCTTAGCTCGTGAATAGACATGCAAGATGCGATGGACTGTGAGATGTTTGTTCAAAGCATTGAACCAGGCTCCAAGAAGACCACCAACAAAGCCCATAGCAATGAAGATCAGAACATCCTGTAGGTTCCACAGATCACACTTCTCTGTTCCTTCCTTACACTTTGAATCAAAACATAACTACCAGTCAGAGTTGATGAGTAACTCACAGTACAGCTTATTTTCAACTATAGTTACAGCTTAACTCCATTTGTTTGCATCTACTTTGAACATGGAAGGTTGTCCTGCATTCAATGGTTGGTTCCTGGACCAAAAACCTGTGTCTTAAAAATCAATACCTGAAAGTGATTTATGCTTGTTTTACTTTTAGAAATGCGGGGCTCACAGATGATTAAACATTTGCATTGAGACATTAAACAGTTGCTATTGTCTCCTCGCCTTCAGTATCATGGTTAAAATGTGTAGAGAAAATTAGTCCTTCATGTTTTTGTTTTCTGCTCTGAACATTATGACAGCATTTCTCTCAATAGGAATCATTTGAAATATACACCACATCAAAATTTAAAGTATTATACATAAATTGTCAAAAAAAATTAGGTAATGCACCCTGAAGTCTCCAAAGTTGAGCAAGCCAGGCTGATTGAATAAACCCCAGCCATAACCAAAAATACCAGTCAAACAAAAGTTCAATGTGAATGTGGAAGCCATGGAACAGAAAAACTGAAAAAGAGATCAAGAAAGAAACATTATTTTACGCATAATTTGTAATGTTTAAAATCCCAGTTCGTAGGAGACAAAGTGTGTTGGACTCTTGATCTGGCAGACCAGGTTCCAGAACTAATACCTAAAGATACTTTATTCTCAAACTCATTAATAATTCATCAAGTTTAAATAGACAAACGAAATCATGACGGTGACAGTGTTTGGATATCTGATCTTAATTAGCATAGATTTTTATGA